TGAGGGGCCGACTCCGGCTCCGGCGCCCCGGGAGGACTGCGCGGGCCCTTCCCCTGCCCGGTCGCCCGGGCCCCGCGGCCTAGGCTGCCTGCCCTCTCGCTTTGTCCCTCGTTTCTGAGGGAGGCCCTTGCCTAGCCTCCGCCTCAGCCCAATACCTCACACACTCATTTCGCTCCCTCACACAGACTCAGTCACACACTAGATTAAACCGAAACGGCACTTGGCTGAGGGGGAGGGGCGAGCTCCCGAAGTATCGCGAGACTGCACTGGACTCCCGCGATACTTCGTGCTTTTCTTTTTTTTTTTTTTTTTTTTTTTTTTTTTTCTTTTACCTCACCTCGACCCATTGCTTCGCCAGACAACGCGAGAAGAGGACCCGAGCCGCGGACGCGTCCCGTTAGACTCTCGCGATAAGTTTCCAGCTCCCCTTTGGAGAGGTTTCTAGAAGCGGAAGTTGCCGAGTTTACCTTGAAAACTTGAACCTAACCGGTGGCTCGCTGGGTCCCCGCGGAGACGCGTCCGACCACTCGTGCGAGAAGGATTGTCACAGCTTGTTGTGGTGGTGGTTTCGAGACAGGGTTTCTCTGTGTAGCTTTGGAGCCTATCCTGGCACTCGATCTGGAGACCAGGCTGGCCTCGAACTCACAGAGATCCACCTGCCTCTGCCTCCCGAGTGCTGGGATTAAAGGCTTGCGCCACCAAAGCCCGGATTTTCAGATTTTTTTTTTCTTAATCAAAGGACAGGTAAACAGTGAACCGTGGGGACGTGATAGCTGACGTCTGATGGTATAAAGAAAGCTTGCTGCTGAGTGCCAGGCATTGTGCATTGAATTTCTCTGCCCTCAGGAATAACAACCCCTGGGGCCGGTGGTGGTGGCTCACACCTTTAATCCCAGCACTCGGGAGGCAGAGGCAGGTGGATCTCTGTGAGTTCGAGGCCAGCCTGGTCTCCAGAGCCAGTGCCAGGAAAGGCTCCAAAGCTACACAGAGAAACCCTGTCTCAGAAAATTAAATAAAAGAGCATACAGCCAGCAGGTATCCTTTACTTTTTGAGATCTAGCCCAAACCTGGTTGATTAACTGAGATTTGGTTCTGTCTGCAAGCATGTCTATGTAAACTAGAAGAAGGCACCAGATCCCTTGGGAATAGAATTATAGGTGGTTTTGAGTTACCATGTGGGTCCTGGGAATTGAACCCAAGTCAAGAGCAACCAGTGATCTTAACCACGGAACCATCTCTAGAACCCTCTAGGCCAAAGTTTAAAGAATGGGAGTCTTAGCCGGGCGTTGGTGACGCACGCCTTTACTCTCAGCACTTGGGAGGCAGAGGCAGGGGGATCTCTGTGAGTTTGAGACCAGTCTGGTCTGCAGCCTGAATTCCAGGACAGCCAGGACTACACAGAGAAACCAAACGAAACTAACCAACCACTGGACACTGTCTTCCCTGCGACTTTACAGGCGAGGAATCCCAGATTCAGAGAAGTTAGTTTAGAAGCAGAAAAGTTAGTGGAGAGGGCCAAAGGAAAGTCACTTTGCAGCACAGGATGGCCTCAAAATTGGGCTCTGCAGCCTCAGCCACCCTATTGATGGAATCACAGGTGTGAGCTTTTTTCCGGAACCTTTGCAGTTACATCTATTTTTTATTTTAAATTCTTTTACTTTTTTTTTTTTTTTTTTTTTTTTTTGAGATAGAGTCTCCCTACGTAGCCTGATTGGCCAGGAACTCACAAAGACAGGATGGAATGTTCTGAGCCTGAGTGCTGGGGATTAAAGGTCTGTGCCACCGGGGCGTCCTTTCACACTATTTTAAATATATTTAAATGTCAATTGAACAAGTGAGCCAGGAACAAAGGATATATGAAGCTAGTAATGGTTGGAAATTGGGCTGAATCATCTGAATGGTTTGCTTAAAACCAGGCTGGCCTCGAACTCACAGAGATCCCCGGCTAAGATTCCCATTCTTTAAACTTTGGCCTAAAGGGTTCTAGAGATGGTTCCGTGGTTAAGATCAATGGTTGCTCTTGATTTGGTTTTAATTCCCAGGATTAAAGGTGTGTGCCACCACCACCCGTCAGATTATGAAGACCTTGGTAAAAAAGGTATTAAAAGTCAGTTTGAGCCGGGCACACCTTTAATCCCAGCTACCGGGTGGCAGAGGCAGGAATCTATAAATTGGAGGTCAGCCTGGTCTTTAAATGTATTCCTGGACCGCCAAATCTCTTATACTGAAAAAATCCTATCTGGAACAAGCAAAAGTCACTTTGAAGCCTGAAATGGTGGAGCACACCTTTAAACCGAGCACTCTGGAGGCTAAGGCAGAAGATCTCTGAGTTCCAAGTCAACCAAAGTTGTGTATAGAGATTCTGACTAAAAATAAATTAAACTCAAGAAATTAAGAAAGAATTGACTTGACTGAATGCACTGTGCAAATTTTATACAAAAATAGGTTGTTTATCCTGAAAAGTTGAAGAGCAGCTGAATGAAAACTGGGATAGAGGCGGCAGAAATGGCTCAGAGGTTAGGAGCGCTGGTTGATCTTCCAGAGGTCCTGAGTTCAATTCCCAGCAACCACATGGTGGCTCACAACCACCTTGAATGAGATCTGGTGCCCTCTGCTGGCATGCAGGCAGAAGACATAATAAGTAAAATCTTAAAAAAAAAAAAAAGACAAGCATGGCAAAATTAAATAAAGAGAGCCAGGCGTTGGTGGAGCAAGCCAGAGGCAGGCAGAGCCAGACAGGTCTCCAGAGTGAGTGCCAGGATAGGCTCCAAAGCTACACAGAGAAACTCTGTCTCGAAAAACCAAAAAAAGAAAGAAAACTCTGGGATAGACTATAGATAAGATTGATGTTTTGAGGGCTGGAGAGATGGCGCAGTGGTTAAGAACACTGGCTCTTCCAGAGGACCCAGGGTTAATCCCAGAACCCACATGGCAGTTTGCACCTGCCTATAAACTTCAATTCCAGGACTTCTGACACCTTTACACACACACACATGCAGGCAAAAATCAGTGAACATAAACACGAATTAAGAAAAACTGACTGAGCTGGAGAGATGGTTCAGGGGTTAAGAGCACGACTGCTCTTCCCAGAGGTCCTGAGTTCAATTCCCAGCAACCACATGGTGGCTCACTGCTTTCTATAATGGGATCTGGTGCCCCCTTCTGCATGCAGGGACACATGCAGTATAGAACATTGTATACATAATAAAAAGTTTAAAAAAGGAAAAACACTGATGTTTTGACATCACAAAAGTCAAATTTCTACAAAAAGAGAAGAAAATGAAACTCAGAACGGATGGCTCTGAGCACATGGGCACTCGGTACAGGAAGCAGCAGTGTCCTCAGTGTTTCCATTGAACTACACTTTTTTTAGTAAGTAAAATTCTATCCTTGGAAATCTTGTGTCCAAAATTTCTTTTTTTTCTTTCCTTCCCCCCCTCCCCTTCCTTGTCTTTCCTCATCCCCTTGTTAGACCCCCGAAAACTCAAGTATCCGGGGTCTCAGGCCAGGTTCGCGGTCACCCCAATCACCAGGCGGATTCGAGAGCTTGCTGCAAACTGCACGAGGCTTTATTGTAGTTTTACGAGCTAACCCCATGTTAGCTCGGGTCTTTCACCCACCCGCCATGGCAGACGGCTAGAAAAAGACGGCTCCTAAGGTCTCCCCAAAGATCTTATAGGGCAGCGTAAGGGGAGTGTCTAGGGGTACGCACAGGCTTACGCACAGGCTCATGATTGGTGTGCCTCCAGGCTTGGAGGGCTTGCCCTGTGTTGATTGGTCAACTGGTTGTTGTGGCTCATAGGCCCTCCCAGGGTGGTTGCTATGCTCTCTACGTCATTGCTGTGCGCTTGTCCGTAACGCACACCCAGAGCCATAAAGCATAGCACCACCAGCTAACTTCTGATTGGTTCCTTGTCACAAGACAGGCATCTGACTTTCTGGTTTCTAGGACAAGGTCATAGAAGCACATGTTCAACCATTATGGCTGCCAAAAGGGAAGCCGGTTCCTTCAGTTAAAGACAGGGTTTCTCTTTGGCTTTGTGGACTGTCCTGGAACTGGCTCTTGTAGACCAGGCTGTCCTTGAACTCACAGAGATCCACATG